AGAAAAATGGTCATCCAAACAGAAGGAATCAACACATTTAATCATTCTTTTTTATGTATTTCATCTGCATCTCTCTATGGGGAGATGCGTCTATTTGTGGAGAGAACTAGAAAAAATATGTCTTCAATTCGATATCCATAATTTGTTCATTTTGGTGAATCATAAAGATGGTCTTTAATTTGTTCAACAATATTATTGGCAGCACTAACATTGCTATGCAAACAGTAGCACCTCCGTTAGCTTGAGATTTATAAACCCTCTGCTCACTCATATAAAATGTTGCTTAAAACTTAATGATTTTCCAAAAGAGATTTATTTTTTAAGTAAAATACAAACAATTATAACATAGCTTGCAGGGCAAAATTGGACAAAAAAGACACTTCAGCTTGGCAAATCTATAAAGGAATAATAGACATTTATGTCATTAAGAGTTATCTCTCTTATCAGAGTATCAATGAACCTTATATCGTTTCAATATGGACATCAACATTGGCTCATATCAAGATAGAGGATTCCTAAATTGATACATAGTACATTAGTAAAGTCAAAAAATTTGTTATGAGGTATCTTAAATTTTTTAAAAAGCATCAAATAACTTACTGAAATATATTTTATCCATAAAACTCATTTGTAATACAATGGCAACTTTGTGTATAAAGCAGAGTCACGTACTTTTTATAAGGAAATATCACCCGGGACCGCCTGAAAAGCCCGAGATCACAATCTCTCGGCGTATAACTTCATAGTACGTCTTAATTTGAAGTTCGTTATAACATGAATAAAGAAATGTTGTCCATAAATGGCAAGTCTAAGCATGCGCATTACAGACAGAGATACGGACAATTCGTCCGAAGAAAGTGTTGTAACCATTTGATGGGTTCTGATTCCAGCATCGATTGATTCTATCGTGAGAGTTATCAAAGCTATAATAATGGGATTCGATTCCATAATGGTGTATTTAGTATGAGGATTTCCAAGTGCATGCATACCCAATAGCTGTCGTCTTTTATGATGATGCCACATTTTCTTCGTTAAAAACACTAATAATATTGTTAGGGCGATACAAGGAATATATTGATCAATACAAAGCACAATCCAGCATTGTACTGTGTCGTATATATTATGGAAAAGACAGTCGCTCATAGTTAATGATATCATGCGTGGTATATTGAAAATTAAACAAACTATTGATATGCCGATGATATATCTAATTAATCTGAGCTGATTTCCCCAGAAGCGTTTGTTTGTAGGCTGTATCGTGATGAGGGATCGGTGACCCGCCATTAAAACAGAAATCCACATGAAAATTGTGTGGAAAATGCCTGGGAGAAGGATCAGGTACGTATAAATAAATTTCCTGCCCATATCCGAGTTGGATAATTGTTGTATCCAAACTGGTATCTGTACAAAACCATACAGAACCGCCGATAACATGATGACGGAATGGATCGTTCTGCTGACGCTCCTGTCGTCTGCGCTGATGTTTAGAGCCACAATGGCAATGCCATTTTGGAACATCATCAGTATGATGAAAAACAGTCCAAATATGGCATACGTCCTCCCCAGCTGAACACTCTCGGCTATTTCACAGACAATTGTCACATTGTAGGGGTCACTGTTATTGTAGACTGTAATGTTATCCATCCCGCTGAGTAACGATCGAAATCATCACATTAAATGGAAAAATGGAATGAAATATTGATCAGAAAACGAAAGGTAGAAATAGGTAGGCGTCTTGGAATATATATGAGAGCCCAGCACCATCACAATTTATGTGTGCACAACACGGTCAGTGATTAACAGATAAGTTAGGCACACAAATGGAAACATCTAGGGGAGATGAAAATGCAAAAGAAGATCTCAAACGTATTCTCTGGATTTGCTTTTGACTTTATAATACTTTCCTGTACCATCATCGTAAAACTAAAACTTTGAAATTTCAACTTGATCCATGCTTCTTTATCAAAATAATAAAACACTTGCAAACCATTTAGATATATCTATAATTGACAATGGTTACAAGTATTTTCGCACTATTACAGGTACCTTGAGATGAAAAAGTGACACATTGTTTCTTTTAATATTTTACTTGAAAAAGGTAAACCTAACAACCAAGCTCTGTAATGATATCTCATTTAATTCGATACGGAAGAGCATGCTCTACGTATGTACAATTTCTAAAACGAGGTAAATTATTGACAAGCAAGTTGATGAAACAAGAATATCAACAGTCTCGTTTAAAGTCATCATTTCGAAAGTTCTATGATAGATAGAATGACCTGGTCAGTAAATACAATTTATCATTAGACCAAATGCTGACTGACGTTTTTTAGACTTATTGTTTGTCCATTATTTACACACTGAATTGATGACGGATTTTCCGTTCAATCCCAATCATGACAAGGAGCACGCGGCGGTGTGACCGGTCGGCAGGGGATGCACACTCCTCTGACGTTTCGGAGGTCCGTGTTTGCTCTGTCCCTATTTTGTATTGTTAATGGGCTTTTGGGCCCGCCGCCCGAATACTATTCGTTATCGCCATATATTTCATTGACATGAATGCAAAATAGTAAGAAACACACTGAAAACTAAATTTTCGAAAATAAAGAACCAACTTCAACACATTATTTAAGTTACATAATTATCTTGTTAATCAAGAAAATTAACGTTCTTAGCAAAATTAAACTTGTATGCGAATTACAGCGATATATTCATAATTCGTCTTAAAAGTTTGAACGTTTGATAACATGAATAAAGCATCGATGTCCATAAATGGCCAAAATTAAGCATGCAACATTTTCATTATATGCATCTCAATGTGCTTCAAGGTTCTTCCATAAGATGAAGTTCTAATTTAAGCATTTGATGTTAATAAACATTGATATCCAGCATGCTTTGATTCTATTTTTTATCAAAGCTATAATAATGGGATTGCATTCAAAGCATATATGAAAATTTAGCATAAAAGATTTAATTTTCGTGCATTTACCAAATATTTGAATTTTTATGAATTAAAGATTTTCCTGGCTGAGGGTAAAAAACACTAATAATATTGTTAGGACGATACAAGGAATATATTGATCAATACAAAGCACAATCCAGCATTGTACTGTTTCGTATATACTATGGAAAGGACAGTCGCTCATAGCTAATGAAATCATGCGTGGTATATTAAAAATTAAACAAATAATTGATATGCCGATGATATATCTAATAAATCTGAGCTGATTTCCCCAGAAACGTTTGTTTGTAAGCTGAATCATGATGAGAGCTCGGTTTCCCGCCATTAAAACAGTTATCCACATGAAAACTGTGTGGAAAATGCCTGGGAGAAGAATTAGGTACGTGTAAATAAATTTTCTGTCCATATTCGAGTTGGATAATTGTTGTATCCAAACTGGTATCTGAACAAAACCGTACAGAACAGCCGACAACATGATGACAGAATGGATCGTTCTACTGACGCTCCTATCGTCTGCGCTGATGTTTAGAGCAACAATGGCAATGCCATTTTGGAACATCATCAGTATGATGAAAAACAGTCCAAATATGGCATACGTCCTCCCCAGATGAACACTCTCGGCTGTTTCACAGACACTTGTCACATTGTAGGGGTCACTGTTACTGTAGAGTGTAATGTTATACATCCTGCCGAGTTCCGATCGAAATCATCACATTAAATGGAAAAATGGAATGAAATATTGATCAGAAAAGGAAAGGTAGAAATGGGTAGGCGTCTTGGAATATATATATGAAAGCCCATTACCATCACAATTTATGTGTGCATGCAGTGTTTAACAGGTAAGTTAGGCACTCACATGGAAACATCTAGGAGAGATGAAAATGATAAAAATGAAGAAGATCTCAAACGTATTCTTTGAATTTGCTCTTGACTTCTGTTTAATCAATGTGTATTGACCTCATAGAAGCCAATAATTATATATTTTCAGAATATTTGCAATAACTTTCCATACTTCATATTGTAATAAACTTAAAGAACTGTAATTAACAACATTTCATAATCTTGATCTTGGAGGAAGCAACAAAGCAAAAAATGTTTTCCTTTTACTAAGTTTGATCATATATCAAAGAGAAGAAACCACTTGTTGTGGCCTTCAACTCAACATTTAGACATATCGACGACGTATTGTCAATTAACAGTGGTTACTAGTATCTCCATTCTTATGTCGATGCGATACATCCCGGTGACCTTGAGATAAAAGATACCACAGAGTCTGACAGATGTATTTCATACTTGGATATTTTATTTGAAAAAGACGTCAATGGTAATCTAACAACCAAGATCTATGATAAACGTGATGCCTTTAACTATTCAATCGTCAACTTCTCTTACTTATACAGCAATATAACTTCATCTCCTGCATACGGAGTTCATATCTCTCAGTTGATTATATATGCAAGAGCAAGCTCCACGTATATACATTTTCTACAACGAGGTAAATTGTTGACAAACAACTTGATGAAACAAGAATATCAGCAATCCCGTTTAAAGTCATCATTTCGTAAGTTTAATATGGTCGATCGATACATTGACCTTGTCAGCAAATTTATCATTGAGTCAAATGCTGACTGACGTTTTTCAGACTAATTGTTAGTCCATTATTTACATACTGGATTGACAACGGATTTTCCGTTATTTCCCGATCATGACAAACACACGGCGGGATGCCAATTCCTCCATGGCACCTGATCCCACCTCTAGCGTTTCGGAGGTTCCTGTTTGCTCTGCCCCTATTTTGTATTGTTAATGGACTTTTGAGCTTGAATACTGTTTGTTATCTCCATATATTTCCTCGACATAAATGCAAAAAAAGTGAGAAAACAAACTGAAAACTTTATTTTCGAACAAAAGAGCCAACCTCGGCACATAGGCACTCCCCATGTAATTCTGTAAAATGACCAAATATAAGTATATACTTACCTTTCGTCATTTACAGAATTATATGGGGAGCGCCTATGCCTTAGCACATTATATAAGTTACTTGCATGTCTTAATCACTAAAATTAACGCTCTTAAAAAAATGCTTGTATTATACATGTATATATACTTTATTTTTGAACAGTAAATACGAGAAGTCAACAAATTAGATATTTTGTAGTATGAGCCAAAGTAGAGCTCTGGGTTTCGTCCAGTTGTGCCCGATCATCACAACTCTCTTTCTAGAATCCCGGATGCACTCGATTCCTGATTCATTGAAACCACTGAGCGGACTCCGGAAGTGTGGGATTCCCCCTCACAAGACACGGTGGCTTTCCGGGCCTTCTTCTGCTTTTTTCGCACGGTGAAGTATCTGGATGGACGCGTCAAGCTTGAGATAGTTGCATTTCTCCACTTGTGAACAAACTTGCGTTCCTTGGTTCCAAGAAGTGTATGAAAGAAAAAATACCAGGTGTATGTTAGCAACAAAATGGTGTCCGTAACGAGGTGACGGTAAATATTTCTTGCTCCAGTAGCCTTTGACTTTCTGTTGGTATAATCTAGAGTTAGCATAGTAATGTACAGAGTCTCGATAAATAATGTTGTGGAAGACATGAAAATGAAAACAGAGTCGTTTAGAAAGGATTCCCGGGCGTTTACATTCCGGAGTTTGATTTGTTGTCTGTAGATCTTTAGTACTACAACGATAGACAGAACAATAACCGGGAGTAGAATAATGCAAGGTGCACTTCTAACGGTGGCAAACCGAACCCAATACTGGGTTATTGCCACTTTATCATAAAACATCTGAAAAGAATATTCACTTCCAAAGCAGTATTCGTTCTCGATAAGTTTCACGTGGTTTAACTGTACGAAGCCTAGAATTTCTACAGCAAGGGCAATCGGATAAACCGAAAAAGTTCCAAATCGGACCCGACGGGAATTATAGTGCTGGTTACTCCAAAATGGAAACTGGAAACACACCAGCCTCTGAATCGCCAGAATTACCACCTGAAGGACAGAAGCAGCGTGGAAAATGTTAAAGAACTGTTCTATTACCAGAACAGATGTACAGGAAGCATTTGTAAACTGCAGGATGTTT